AAATTCTCACATGCTCTTGTTTTAAAAAAAAAAAAAAAAAAAAAAACAAAGTTTACATAATAAGAATTAGATAAGGCCACCTTAATGTGCAGTTGCTCCTTTTTAGATCCCACAATGACCTTTGTGTCCTGTTTTGATTGAGTGACCTTAGTTCCAGGAAAGATAAAGGCAGTAGTAAAACATCTTAACTAATAGGACAATGGCAATTGACAACCAATTGAAGTTAGGGTAGGTAGGTCTTGAGGAGATAATAAGAATCAGTGGTTTTTAAAATCATTTTTAATAATAGTGAAGATGGAGTGTGAAAGAAGAATAACCTTCAGGATGAGGTTCTGTCACGTGATGAGCATCAGAAGTGAAACTTCCACCGAGAAATTCAGCATAGATTGTTGCACCCCTTTTCTGCTCACTCAAACAAGGAAAATTCGGGTTGCATGTGATGATAAGGAATGGAATGAAACTACTAGACTTGGGAAGTACATGCAAGAGTTTACCTTTCCGTGCTCAAGTTCTTCCAGAAGCAGAACTCCAGCTCCTTCACCCATGACAAACCCATCGCGGTCCTGTCAATAGCAATATCAGCAGATGCATGTAATTCTAATCTAACAGAGAAGATGCAAATGAAAGAAATGACATTACACTATCCCAAGGCCGTGAAGCTCTAGTAGGATCATTGTTTCTCTGAGAAAGTGCCCTGCAAGCAATAAATCCACCAACTCCTGCAACAAGGACGTTCGATATGTGACAACCAAAAATAGCTAGCTAAATCAATGTATAATTACAAAAGAAGATATAATAACAGTTGGTATAATTACTGAATCAGATCCCCCAGAAAGCATCATATCCTGAAACTTTTAAAGCATTTTAAACAATATAAAGTTCAACTCATCAAGATATAGTCATCGTTTTAACCACATTAAAATTATTAGTAAAGTTCATGTTGTAGGAAGTAGGCAAATCCACTTACAGCTTCACCTCTGATGATGTGGTGTATGTATGATTCTTATAGGATAATAGAAGCATAGTTTGGTGATCTTAGCCTAACAGTTTATGTATATTGAACATCAAGAGTCATACATAACCCCTTTATGCATATTGAACAGCAAGAATCATACATACACCCACTGCATTTAATTAATCCAAACATGTGATTAATCTAGATTCTAGTGCAAGGAAATCCAGTGCATTTAAGCATTCCAGTGAACGGAACTTATATAGATTATTATTTTCATGACTTACAAAGTACTCCTTATATTGCATTACCTCAATGGTGAAAAGAGCTAATGCTGTTTAATTCACCATAATTACAAACTCACCTAAGAAAAGGTCAATCATAGCAATTAAAAAACTGCTCATGTCAATTTGGTTCAGAGCAATTTGCTAAGCCACACACCTAAAATGACTTTGTACAATTCTATGCACAATTACGAAATGACAGACAAATATGAAATCATGAGAATATAGATTTTACAATCCATACCAGTTCCTAATGATTCATAAATCTTTCTTTTCCAGGCAGCAACCACTAACCACCAAGTCAATTTTAATTAAACAATAACAATTCTAGACAATAAATCATCTATTAATCCTAAAAGAAATCAAGAAATAGAAATTTTACTGTCACAATACTTCGAAAATTTTCAAATTCACCACTTTTAGAATTAGGAATTTAGGGATTAAGGTTTAACATTTGAGTAATACAACTAACTTGTAGCGCAGCAGAGACGGCAACGAAGATGAGCGAATTTGACGGGAAGAGGCGTGCGCTGTCTCGATGGGAAGAGGCTCGACGGCAACCTAGCTCTGAGACGGAAAAGCTCGACGGCAACCAAGCTTGTTGTTGTTGACCAAGCTCTGCGACGAGAAGTGGCTCGACGACAGCGAGAAATTTGCAGAGGTGGGAAATATTATGAGATTTGCAGAGTAAACGTGCGAGGTCCGCGAGGAGAAGAGTGAACGCTGAGAGCAAATGCGCTTTTTGTCTTTTTGTTTTTTTCCAAGTAGAAAAAGATGTCTAAGCAAATTGAAGTGTTTTATTTTATTTTATTTTTGCATACTGAAAATTAAGATTAATTAAAAAAATTAAACTGCTGAATAAAATTTCCGAACATTCCGATCACTAATTAAAAGTGGTCGGAAACTCCGACCAATTTGCGTCCACCACAATCCTTCAACGAAAAATTGAAAAAATGTAACTTTTTCCGACAAATTTTTTAGGTGGTCGGAAAATGGTCAGAAAATTAAAGATTTCCAGTAGTGTCTGTACAAGAAGAGAGGAGTGTGGAGAGAGCAGCTTTTAGATAGAGAGGCGTTGGAATGTGAATTTAGCTTTTAGATTCGGAGAGGCATTGGAAAGGAGAGGAGATTTGGTGAAAGCTTTTAGGTCTGGAGAGACGTGGATTTGTTTAGATCTCCCGAAGCTTTTATTAGCTTTTTTAGTATTTTTCTGATCTGTTTTCAAATGTTTTTAATTAACTTTCCGCGACCCTTTCTCCCCAAAAGGGACGCGAAAAGTGAATACCTTTTTTATTATTATTTTATTAGACTAATTTCCACAACCCTTTCTAGGAGAAAGACTTGCGAAAACTCGGCACGATTTTTTAAATTTAGAAACCGCGTCCCTTTTTTAAAAAAAGGGTTGTGATTTCTTGTTTATTTCTTTATGATTATGCCATCACAAATTTGTTTAACAATACACTACCATTCTTTGAAGAAAGGTAGCCTAAAGTCACATTTATTTGCTCTTTTTTTTTTTGTACTAGTGTGTATGTAGAGATGATACAACTTAGAAATATAATATTTTTAACAAGTGTCATAAATATGCCATTTAATTTTAGTGTTTAATGAATCTTAAATATTACCGTCACAGTACTGGTTAATTGATTATGAAATATTTTTTCCAAAAAAGTTGAATTCCCAAACCCAAGGGCCCCCAACACCCTGGCCTGACAGAGCATATGGGAGAATGTAAATCATGGTGACTCAGCTGAACACAAATACTAGACCTTTGAATACTGCGCACAAGGAACCCCACTCACTTTGAGAGGTTGCTCCCACACTGCCGCTGATGAGACCCGATCTCTGATCATTCTTTCTAAACTTCACCCTTGAGACCAACTGAGCTGCCCATGCGAGCGTTATGAAACATGTATAGGCGTCATGCATGTCGTTTATAATTTAAAATTTAGCCTATGATTTGTGGTTAGTTGTTAAAAATTTTTAGGTCACGAGAGAAATTCATAATAATTATTTAACAGTGTGTTATGATTAAATTATATTTTTGTGTAATAATTCATAAATCACGTAAGAAAAGTAAATTGTATTAAAAAAGATTCAATGTAACGATGAGGATTGATATCTTTGAATGAATATCACGTAATACTATACAGAGATAATATATGAATACAATTAAGAATCCTAATACAATATAACTAGTCAACATATAATAGACTCCTAACACTCCCGCTCAAGCACAAAGTTTATGAGAAAGAACATTGAGCTTGTCCTGTAAATAAGTAAATCGCGGTCCTGGGAGAGCTTTAGTGAAGATGTCCGCCAGCTGATCCTTCGTAGAGATAAAATGCAACTGCAACTCCCTCTTAGCCACCTTGTCATGAACAAAGTGATAATCTATCTTCATATGCTTCGTCCGTGCATGAAAAACCGGATTAGCACATAATTATTGGGCGCCCAGATTATCACACAAAAGCGTGGGCGTGGACATATGACACAAACCAAGCTCCTTCAACACCGAAACCAACCAAGTCACCTTCGCAGACACATCAACCAGAGCCTTGTAATCATCCTCAGTGGAAGAACCCGCCATAGTGCGCTTCTTATGACACGTCCAAGGCACTACATTGCGACCCAAAAACCAAAAAAAAAAAAAAAAACACGCGTAGACTTCCGGTCGTCCGGGTCACCAGGCCAATCCGAATCCGAAAAGGCAAGGATTTCAACAGAAAATGAATTAGAAACATGCAGACCAAAATGAAGCGTACCTTTCACATAACGCAGTACACACTTAAGCATACCCCAGTGCTCCATAGTTGGAGCATGCATGTGCTGACATAGCTTGTTCACCGCAAAAGACAAATCAGGTCTCGTGACCGTAAGGTATTGTAGAGCACTAGCTAAGCTGCGATAGCGCGTGGGGTCAAAATAGAGAACCTCTGTGGCATCACCAGCACGAGACAAAGAGACCGGTGTAACACGCGCCTTACAGTCAACCATTCCAACACGCTTTAAAATGTCATTCATGTACCGTTATTGAGACTAGAGCAAACCACCACGCCAAGGAATAGTCTTAATGTCCACGAAAAAAGACGGGGCACCCATGCTACGAATCTTGAACTCAGATGCCAATTTGCTAATAAGGCAGACACCTGAGCCGAGTCAAATCCCATCACCAAGATGTCATCTACATACACAAGCAAATAAAACCGCACAGAATCATGGGAATAGATATAAATAAGGAGACATCCGTTTTTGACAGAGTAAAACCAATTGAAACCAAAAAAGTGTGTAACTGGTTAAAACAGGCACGAGGAGCCTATTTAAGACTATACAATAACCTCTGCAATAGGCACACGTGACCTAGCACAGTCTTATCTTCATATCCCGGTGGCTGCCTAATATAGACTGTCTCAACAAGAGTACCATTCAGAAACGCGTTATGGACATCCATCTACCTTATAGTCCAATCACGCGAGATCGCCAATGCTAGCGGGAGCCTTACAGTAGTCGATTTAACAACCGGACTAAATGTCTCGAAGAAATCATGCCCACCAGCCACTTGATTACCAACTGGGCTTTGTAACGCTCCACCGTACAATCGACTTTCCTCTTCATTCGAAACACCCATTTACACCCAATAACATTCATCCCGGGCGTAAATGGAACTAACCTCCATGTCTGATTATGTAGCTAGGCATTAAACTAAGCGTCCATCGCTTCACGCCACTCAAAGTGCACCACAGCCTGCGAGTAACATGTAGGGTCCGAAACACCAACCTTTTTCACTAAGGCAGCCAACTGATCACCAAGCTGGGACTTGCTCCGTGGGGTCATCGTGTGTGTGCAGACAGTGGATCGCCCGCGACGCACGCGACGAGCAGCAGCCATCCGCGACTCAACCACCCCAACATCTTGAGGAGCCGAGACAGTAATGGCACTCGAGCTGGATGCCTGCTTACCAACGTCGGGTAGGCGACTGGTCTCGAGTTGCTAACTGGGAGGCGGGCCGGCTTCAGAATCACACATGCTTGGAGAAGTAGCCGAAACAACAACACTGCCAACACCCCAAGGAACATCCGAAATAGAGCCTGGACCCTGTACATTCACAACAGAAGCAAACGGATATACGGCTTCATCGAATCGCGCATGGCGGCAAACGAAAACCTTGTTATTAGTAAGGTCCAAACAATGATAGCCACGAAAAGAAGATGGATAACCAAGAAAGACACATGGGGTGGACTTAAACTACAACTTGTTTTGGTTATATGGACGTAACAGAGGATAACATATACATCCAAAAACACGCAAAAAAAAAAAAAAAAAAAGAATAAGAGGGACAAGAATGATGGAGATGAAAATGTGGACTATCATTATTCAACACATGAGTAGGCATTTTATTAATTAAATACACCGCGGTTTCAAATGCGTAGTCCAAAAAACGAGTGAGAACCGAAGCCTAAGTCATTAATGCAAGCCTAGTTTCAACAATATGACGATGCCTACGTTCTACCCGGTCATTTTGTTCATGCGTATATGCGCACGATTGCCTATGATTAATACCAAGAGAAGAGAAGGTTTTATGTAGTCATTTGTATTCTCTGCTTAAATGAAACTTAACATCAAGAATTTTACGATTGTATGAACGCCCAACAAGTAAATGAAACTTATCAAAAATAGCATATAAATCAGTTTTGGCACGCACCAGATAGAACCAAACATAACGAGTAAAGTCATCAACAAATAAAACAAAATATCAATAACCATTAACAAAAACCAATGGTGTTGGGGCCCATATATCAGTATAAATTAATTCTAATACTTGCGAAGTAGTGGACTCAACACGAGGCAAAGGAAATCGTGATGATTTGCCTAACTGACAAGCCTGACACAAAGATATAGCACTAAGACTAGAAGAATTAAACGAACAAGAATTCAAAATTTTTCGTAAGACGCGAAGATGCGGGAGAACTAAACGGTTATGCCAAACAGAGGACGAGCCATGAGCAGCCACAAACGCTGCAGGACTCTAACGCAAGACAAGCCATGAATAGAGACCGCCCAAAGCCTGACCCTTAAACATGACGCCTTGGTTGAAAGGTCCTTCACAAAGGAACAACTCGAGTGAAACTCAAAAAGACACTATTATCTCTAACAAACCTTTGAACAGATAATAATGACGCAGATAACCTAAGAACATGTAAAACATTAGATAACTTAAAACACCAATTAGAAGTAGCAACCGAAGACATCACCGATGGGTTAGGAGTAGCATGATTGGACGCACCGGTGTCTGGGAACCACCGATTAGACTCAATCGAACTGCATAATCCATTTGATAGGCTATGTTTGCCTGCGGTCCCGGCGCTTCACTATACCACCGGTAACATGTCAAGGCCGACTGGCCACCACCGTTGCATATCTGACAGCGTAATCCGGTGTGATTCCAGCCACGACTGCGACCACAGTTATGCTCACGGCCATTGCCTCCTCGCTGCGATTGCAACCCTCGGTTGCCACCACGTCGAGTCATCATCGCTACTGGTCCAACCGCCTCGCCGCCATCGTCTGCGCATATGAACTCCTGCGAGACCAAAAAGTCCGACAGCTCATTCAGCGTCACCGGAGCACCACTCGTCAATGAAGCTATGAACGGCTAGAATACTGGACGGAGACCACGAAACACATACAGGTTTTGTTCATCAAGCATTATCGGACGGCCGGTTAATGCCAAATCATGCACCAAAACCTGCGCTTGGTCGAGATAGTCGGAAACCGACGTGTCTCTCTATCGCAACGACTGCAACTGGCCAAGGAGGCGAAGGGCACATGCACGAGTCGTCGACCCCAGCGTCTGCCCGATCGACGTCCACAACTAGCGAGACGATATCCTCCCTACAGCCATATGTATCATCCCCTGCGACAGCGAGGAGATTAAGAGAGAAAAAATAGCCTGGTCTTGGCGAAGCCAACGTCGAAGCAGGTTCACCACCATCGGCTGGAGCCTCCACCGGACAACGCAAGGTACCATCAACGAACCCTAACAGCCCTTGTCCGCGAAGAAACGGAATAAGCTGCGTTCGCCAAAAAAGATAGTTTCGGGAGGATAGTTTGATGGACACAAAAGGGTGGGCGGAAGAAAGGAAATTACTGAGTTGCAACGGATCATACATGGCCGCCTCGGAAACGGTCCGTTCGTAAGAAACTCCAACAGAGCTGTCAATGGAACCGGTCGTTGCCATGTTAGGAACCGTGAAATTACTGATACCGAATGAGGATTGATATCTCTGAATGAATATCACATAATACTATACAGAGATAATATATGAATACAACTAAAAGTCATAATACAATATAACTAATCAATATATAATAGACTCCTAACAATAACAAGATTAATCGATACGATATTAATAAGAATATAATTCATAATCATTCAAATATAAGAATACTCCTTCGCAGAGGTTACCAACTTTACTATTACCGATACTAATTACGCTCTCTTCCGCGTGCAGATTCTAGTTTGTGACTCCCGCAGACTTTCTCCCTTATCTTCTTTTGTTCCCACTTCTCTCATTCTATTTAATCTGACACCCAAGACATCATCGGATAACAACCAAAATTCGGAGTCTACTAAAGTTATCTGTCTGGCAAACATAATTCAACTTTTTTTAAAAAAAAAAAAAAAATAAGAAGAAAAGTTAGAAGTTAGCTAATAATAAAAATGTTAAGAAAAATGAAGAAGAAAAGTTAGAAGTTAGCTAATAATGAAAATGTTAAGGATTAAAAATAAAATTTGTTAAATTATATAATTTTATTAAAAATATTGGGGAAATTTTGTTTTTTTCTTTTTTTTTTTTTCCATCCTATATCATCATCATTATCATTATTATTATTAAAACAGAATACAAAATTAAAAATAAAAAAAAAATAAAGTAGTCACCAAATTACATACAAAAGTGTAATTAGGTCATCCAACTAAAAAATATGCAATTAGATCTCTAAATTATCTAAAAGGAAAAATGACACTTTTTCCCCTGAGTTATATACTTATAGCACTTTTTCTCCTGAGTTATTTATGTAAGCACATTAGCCCCTCAATTATCCTAAAAGTGACGATTTTTCCTCCTGATATATTAAATTGACATTCCTACCCTTATAGTAAACATTTTATTTATTTTTCTTCTCCAACAAATTATTGTTTATACGTAGGGATGACCACGGCTCGGTTCGAACCGAACCGGACACTATAGCAATTGAATTAAAAGTTTCCGATTATGATTCAGATCCAGAACCCCATATTTAGATTTCAGTTTATTAAAATTATGAATCAAAAAAATTGGTTTCTAAACCATGAACAGCGGTTCCGGATCCAGATCGCGATTTTGAATCTTCTTTATTTTAACATTTTATTTTTATTTTAAAAATAGTCCAAATTCAACAATAAATGTATTTTATTTTTTCAGTTTGGCACATGAACCGCCCGTTTCGGTTCGCGATTTTAATAAACTCTAAATATCAAGTTTCGATTCTAAATTGTAATTGGAATATTTCAATTTAGTTGCTATAGTGCCTGTTCGGTTTGAACCGAATAGTGGTCAAATTGTAATTGGAATATTTCAATTTAGTTGCTATAGTGCCCCGTTCGGAATTGTAATTGGAATATTTCAATTTAGTTGCTATAGTGCCTGTTCGATTTGAACCGAATAGTGGTCATAATTTGTTGAAGAAGAAAAATAAATAAAATATTTATTTTAAGAGTAAATATGTCCATTTAACATTTCAGGGGAAAAATAGCCACTTGAATAATTGAAGGAAAAAAAATGCTATAAGTATATAACACAGGGGGAAAAGTGCCATTTTCCCTATCTAAAATTATACAATTCAACTAAATTTGATATATTCTTCATGTCATCGCTGATGTATCGATCCTTTAATTTATTTTAATAATTTTAAATAAAATTTAAAAGCAAAAACAAAAACAATAAAGCAAAAAAAATAAAAACAAAAAAATCAACCCCCTCCCGGTCTTCATCTCGACCTGGCTTGGAGACGATGACTGGGAGGGGGTTTTTCCTTCTTTTTTTGTTTTGTTTTTTTTTTTGTTTTTTTTGGTTTTTTTGTTTTTTTTTTTTTTGTTTTTTTTTTGTTTTGGTTTTTTTTTTTTTTTTTTTGTTTTAACTTTTAATTTTATTTCATTTAAAATTATTAAAATAAGTTTAAAATAATAAATCTTTAATATGATGACCGCACTTCAGCAATGACTTGAGAAAAGTATATTAAATTTGATCGAATTGCATAATTATAGATAGTGGAGGGGCCTAATTACATTTTTTTTAGTTAGATATCTAAATTGCACTTTTACGTGTAATTCAATGACTAATTTGTATCTTTTTCTAGAAAAATTAACCATAATATAAATTATTATGGGTAATCATCAACTAAATAATTAAATTAATTTGATTTGATCAATTAACAAATTTTGAATCAATTTATGCACACTCCAACTATTGTTTTAAATTCAAACTATTGGCCAAAGGTGGCAATTTATATTCTACACCACGGCGCGCGTTGCACTGTGCGCCCAGATGCAAAACGATGTCGTTTTAATTTTTTTTTTTTTTTTGAAATTTCCCGCCCCAGTGTATGGCAATTATTTTTTCTTTAAAAAAAAAAAAAAAAAACCTCTGTTAAAAAATGTACATAATGTTATAGTAGAATACACATAATTGTATACATGAATGTACATAATTATATAACAAAATATACATACTCTTTTTAAAAGATAATACACATAATCTAACATAATACATAATAAACATAAACTTTTAACATAATACACATCAACTCTTAACATAATACACACAAATTTTCTGATCCGAATGTACATAATTGTATAAAAAGAATGTACATAATTGTATAAAAAATGTACATAACTGTATGAACAAATATAAATAATTGTATGAACAAATATACATAATTGTGTGAACAAATATACATAATCACAGCAACTTCCTACCGCGCCTCCCAAAACGACCACAAAACGACGTCGTTTTGGGAGACGCGCGGCGCATAGTGCTACGCGCGCCGTGGTGTAGGGTATAACGATTGGCCAAAGGTCTTGTGGTTGAGCGGCATAGTTGTAGCCCTTCAAATGAGAGGTCTCATATTCTAACCCCGGTGTGGAGACATTGACTCTTTGTGCTTCAAAAAAACTATTGAGACTGTTTTTCGTAATGCCGCAATCAGGACCGGCCCTGGGGCAAGGGCAAGGGCCCATGCTTGGGGGAGGGCCCCATCCTATCTCTTATATATATATATATATAGTATATATGTATTGAGTATTTTAGTATAATTAAGTAATTTATATACATATGTTTTATAGTAATTTGAATTTGCTTGGTTGATAAGATACTTGAATTTTAACCCCATTTAATCAAAGGCCCGTGATCCAATCCTTCCCTCCACATTTTAGAATTCCTCAACTTTACTTCTTTGCTTATATTCTAATGTATATTTTAAAATTTATTTTTATTAATTTTTTGAGTTTAATACCGAGTAGTTATTTTTAATGTAATTTTTAATTAAATATATAAATTTTCATATATTTATACTAAACATATTATGAATTTTTTTTATATTAAATATATATTTTTTTATATTAAATGTTTAATGTAATTTTTCTAAATTTATAAATTTTTATATACTTATACTAAACATATTATGAAAAATTGAATCAAAAAAACTTCAATCAACTCATGTTAACCAAACAAGACACGTAAAAATAGGACGGAGTGTGTTATATGATATATTTTGAGATTGAATTAAAAAAAAAAATTAAAAGATAATTTACTCGGTACCTTTTTATGAATATCTAATCAATGTAATATAGAAACTTTTATCATGAGTCATTATATGTATTCAAATTATTCTAAAAAAAGTTTAAAATTTATCTATTTAAAAAAAAGTATTTGTATTAAAAAAAAAAGTATTTATAAAATCATATAAATAATATAGAAGATGTGTGATTTATAATATACTTTATGTTCAAATTATTTTATCTAGATAATTATGTGGTCTAATGGTATCCGGGGTGGACTTCCAAGCGGAAGGTTGTGATTTCGAGCCTCAGTGGAGGCGTTATTGGCTCTTTGTGTTTCAGTAGGTTGAGAAAGTATATGAACAGATACTACAATGTAATAGAGCTAGTAGCATTCAAAAAAAAAAATTATTTTATCTAGATAATTATGTTTCGTATCTTTTCATATTTTTTTATTGCGTTTTGAAATATTTTAATTTTAATTTCTTGCTCCTAGTCAAAAAAGATTTTTAGATTTTCATATGTTTGTAATTATTGTTTTATAAATTTTTAATAATAATTAATTTATTATGATAACAATGTTATTGTTTATAAGTTTACTCGATTTTAAATTATTTATTCATTTTTATAAATTATAATATTATTTATTATTGTGCATTAATTTTTCATGATTATTGTTGTGTATGTAAAATTGTAAAAAACTTGTTAATCTTATTTAAAGTTATTGATATTAATAATTTTTTTTTCTTATTTAATTTAAATTTTAAGCATGAAATATATATTAATTGGGGCCCATTTTTTTATCCTGCCCCGGACCTATAAAATGATAGGACCGGCCCTGTCCGCAATCTACATAGTTTAAAAAAAAATTATAATATAAAATTTTGATTGGATTTTTATACGGTGTAATATCTCTTTGTGCATTTTTTAAATATAAAAATTAGAAATATTTTCATCATATCAGATGAGTTGAGAAAAAAATATTAAAATGTCTAATGTGGGAACAAAAATGTCCTCTATTATCTTTTGGAATAAGGGTCAAATAGGCCATCGAACTGCACAAGATAATGCAATTAGCCCACTGGACCTAAAAAATCAACAATTGGGTCCCTAAACTAACCAATTTCAAACAAATCTTCCAATTTGTAGGTTTCCAACAGGTTAACAGGTCATCCTCCCAAATTAATTATTTTTTAAAAAATAAAATTTAAAAATTAATTATTTAATTAATTTAAAAAAAAAAAAAAAAAAAACAGAAACGGCCGGAGACGAAGAAACTTCTTCGTCTCCGGCCAGTTTCTTCGTCTCCCCGGCCGGAGACGAAGACGAAGATTTCTTCGTCTCCGGCCATGGAGACGAAGAGTTTCTTCTTCTCCATGGCCGGAGACAAAGAAACTCTTCGTCTCCATGGCCGGAGACGAAGAAACTGGCCGGAGACGAAGAAGTTTCTTCGTCTCCGGCCGTTTCTGTTTTTTTTTTTTTTTTTTTTTAAATTATTATTTTAATTTTAAAATTTTATTTTTTAAAAAATAATTAATTTGGTTGTTGACCTGTTAGAAACCTTCAAGTTAGATGAATTGTTAGGAATTTGTTAGTTTAGGGAATCAATTGTTGGTTTTTTGGGTTCAGTGGCCTAATTGTATTATCATGTGCAGTTCGATGGCCTATTTGACCCTTATTCCTTATCTTTTTGGCAAAAAACCAGCAAAGGCAAATGAATTGTTAAAATTCGAAAGGTTAATATAATTTTTTTATTACTTTTTAATACTAAAATCGCTACAAATATTTAGTAAAAGTTAAAAAGGAATTTTTTTTTTTTTATTGACTAGTCGTATTTAAATTGATTTACCCTATCATGAATTAATAAAACGTATACAAAATAATCAAACAAAAAAGTATATAACACAATAATGACATGACATATTGTGATATTATGTAGTAGTTTTGTAAAAAGTAAATAAATAAAATGTAACACGACTTTAAGAAAGCTACACAAATTTAATTTCTCATTTACTTATAGTAAAGTTGATAAATTTACGAATAACCAATGAAAGTAAAAGAATCTTCCCGGGGGATTGGTAATGGTATAATGCTATGCCATTTCTTTAAAACACAGATTTTATAGTAATTTAATTTAAATCAACTTTTTTCTTTAAAAAAAGTTGCAATCATATATAATTGTTCTTGCCAAGCACCTTGTGCTCAGATGACACCTGAGTTGAACTTTCATATGGGAGATTATCTCTTTGTGTTTCAGTAAGTTGAGAAAGTAGTTATATATATATATATATATATATATATATATATATATAATTGTTCTTTTTCAATTTTAGAAAGGAAAATGTTTTAATCCACTCCTAAATTTTTTCTTCAACAATTTACTTCATGATCTGGCTTAATTCGGTGGTCATGAATAGACTAACTCAATCATTAATTAAAAAGAAAACTTAACACGCCTATTAGTTGGGGGTTTTTGTTGATTTTTAGGTTGCCATGTAGGAAAGATGAGAGACAGGAAATGTGAGAAAAAGAAAAGGGAAAAAAAAAAAAAACAAGCTTGACAAAAAAAAAAAAGACAAAAAAAAAAAAAAAAAAACAAAGTTGTTTAACGCGCGCTTGGCACATGGTGTGCACGGGCTTGGGCGCTTCTGGTGTGCCTCACGCACGCCAGGAGTTAGCTGCTTCTTCTTCTTCTTTTTTTTTTTTTTTTTTTTTTTTTTTTTTTGCGGTGGGCCCCACTGAATTTGACAAAAACTAATGCTTATTGCAACACTCATTTTATTCTCTCCTCTCTACATAAGTTTTGCTTTCTCAAAAATCATAATTGGGAATGCTCTTATCAATTAAATATTGACATGTCATGATGGATGAAATAGAATGAGAAAAATAAGAAGGTTATACACCGTTTTTAGAAATTAGAATTATAAAATTGTATTAGTGAATAACAAGATCATTAAGATCATACCAATTCTTTAATTGCATTTGACGAGATATTTAATATTTTGATCCAAATTAAATAAGACAACACTTTTGGTAAATAATAATAATAATAATAGTAATAATAATAATAATAATAATAATAATAATAATAATAATAATAATAATAATAATAATCTTTCAAAATAATAATAATAATAATAATAATAATAATAATAATAATAATAATAATAATTATAATAATAAATTCTCAAGTATTTTAATTTTTTAACTTTCAAGTTTCAACACATGTAGAAGGTTCTTTAGTCTTCGGACAATAATACTTTATAGACCGACACATTGCATGAGCCGTGGAAGCCTTCTACTGAAGGTAGGCTGTGCGTAAATGACTTTATCTGAATGCCATTTTCTACGTATATATTAATACTTTTAATTACTCCTTGCATTCTAGAAACTATCAGGAAATTTCTGTTGAATTTCCTGAGAACCTTTATACGTGGAAGATTATTATTGTTCTTGTGGTTCTTGATGTTGAGATTTTAATTTGTGAAACGAAGAGGTATGTATATTTTAATAAGTAAAAATTTGTGTGAGACTTCTTACATATTTTTATTTATGAAATAGGTCGTGTTGTAAATAACTGAGTAAGATGTTCAAAGTATTACAATTTAGTATTACAATATTTATCATAAGTAACGATTTATTTTTAATCCAAAATAATATTACATTTTATACAATAATTATTACAATTTCTTTATAAGTAACATTTCCCATATAAGTATTACAATATGTACATTTGAATTACACATTGTAAACATCACAATTTCAGTTATAAGATTTACAATTTTTATCATTAGTAACAATCATTTTACTATAAATAGTATCACAATTTCGCATATAAATATTATAATATTTATTATAAGTAATAATTTATTTATTTTAAATTGATATTAAATTTTATATAATAAATATTATAATTTCTATCATATATAAAAAGTACCTATCATAGATTTGATCAGTGAAACCGTCTCACACAAATATAACTTATTTTAATAAAGTTACGATAGATATTTTTATAATTGAATTGTCACATCTTATTAGTCACATTCCTAGACGTTTATATATATTTTTTTAATTTGAAGATATATATTCTTTATTAACTCAGAGTATGTACACTAATTAATTCATCAGTAATTCATTAATATAAATAGGTATTTCTTCTTAATTCAGAAGGGGTGTGAAACATTTTCCATTTTAATATGAATACATACATTCACAGAGGCCAAAGACCTTGTGGTCAAGCGGCATGAAGTGACTCTCTCAAATAGGATGTTATGAGTTCGAGCCTCAGTAGAGTCGGTATTGACTCGCATTTATAGAAAAAGTGATAAAAAAGAATAAGGGTTAAATAAGTCATCTATAATGCAACACCAAAATTATGCAATGAGGTCTAAAATGACCTGTTTATCTGAAATTGTAATTGCGAAGAACCAACATAAGTCATCTATAATGCAACACCAAAATTATGCAATGAGGTCTAAAATGACCTGTCATCTATAATGCAACACCAAAATTATGCAATGAGGTCTAAAATGACCTGTTTATCTGAAATGACCTGTTTATCTGAAATTGTAATTGCGAAGAACCAACAGAATTAAGTCACCTGTTTATCTGAAATTGTAATTGCGAAGAACCAACATTATTGAAGGGCAAAATCTTTTTATTTTACTTTTTTTTGTGTTGCCCAGGATTTTTACAAGAAAAAAGATAAATGATTCATCTATTGTCAACAATAATATATTGTCATTTCGTGTCATGTCATAGAAAGTAAAGTTAAGAGAATAGCAGTATAGATACGTAGTAAAATTCGAGTAGTAAGCACATATATAGTTTGGATGACTTTTTAAGTTTCCTATGATCTTCGTCCTTGAGCTGCAAACTTTTTATGCCTTTTCTGATGGGGTCCATCTCCTTCTTTTAGCATACTCTGTTGTTACGATTTGATTCAAATTGATGCAATGATAGATCATCTTCATTCTTTGAGCCCAAAAAAGATATGTTTACATAAAAAATTTGTTTAAGTAAAAAGTGAGAGTATTGAGAATCCAAGTAGGAGTTAATACCTTCAATGGTTCTCCGATTCGAGTATTTGAGGTTTACCAGTTGACCAGTTGTGGTCTTCCGAGTTTTAAATGACCTCAAATGATCTTTCATGTTTTAAAAAATAACCACTCGTGGTCCTAATTTTTAAAATAAATTAAGTTTAAAATGATCACGAGACGTCCGAAAAGGATCACAGATGGTTATTTTTTAAAACTTAGAGGTTCATGAGAGGTCATTTTAAACTCAGAGGATCATAGCTGGTAAACTCCTAATACTCGAATGACTATTGGAGGTATTAATTCGTCCAAGTAGTATTATTCGTTTAAGAATAAACCAATTTTGAAAAGTTCCAAATCGCGAATTGACCTTTTGTTTTTTGGACACGTCTTTATAGCTTTTCAATTTGAATTCGGGACATGAAGAGGAAGATTTATTAATTTATGGAGACTTACCTTGTAGTTCAGGCGTTTAGAAAAAAACAAACGACAAAATTAATGTCAAATCCTTTCAATAAAATTAGTTTTTAATATTTACTTATGATATATATATTACATTTAAAAGATTAAATTGGCAAATGAATTCTTAATTTATTTGTAGTGAAATTGATTAATTTATGAATAATTAATGAATATAAATATTATTTTATTGGGCTTAGATAGGCCTGTTAAAGAATAGAACATGAATAGCGGAGGTTGTTCGTGTTCGTTTGTTAAAATTTTTGAAGTTTTCGTGTTCGTATTCGTTTGTTAAAATTTTTGAAGTTTTCGTGTTCGTATTCGTTTGTTAAGATATTGAAAATCATGTTCTTATTCGTTTGTTAAGCGTTCATTAGTGTTTGTTAACGTTTGCGAACACGTTCACGAAAATGTTCATTAATTTTAGTCAACATGTCTATGAACACGTTCATGAACCCTTAAATAATCGAACACATGTACATGTTCATGATCACAATTCGTTCATGAACAAGAAAACCAAACAAACAACACAACAACTATATATATATATATATATATATATATATATATATATATATATATAAAGGTGAAAGTAGGTGCATTTGTAAGTGATTTTACTTGCACTTCGATGTTCAATTATTTACGAAAATGTCACCGTGTTTTTTTTTTAATCTATTAGATCTGGACATGTGTCGCGCGCTGATTCGTTCGCATTTCCCTCCTGGGCACTTATTCGCACCTGAGTGCATCCATATATATATATATATATATATATATATATATATATATATATATATATATATATATATATATATATCATGGTTGCAGTAGGCGCTAGGCGCTAGTCGGGCGGCCGGGCAGCGCCTAGCGCCTAGGCGGGCACCAAAAAAATTTTAAAAAATAGTAACAGACTTGTAGTTCGACAATTTTAATGAGGTTGTTTTCAACGTTCACGCAAATAACACATCTAAAAAAAATGAAATAATGATAATTTATAAGTCATAATAATATTAAAATCAATAATTAATGAAAGACGACATCGATCAAAATGGAACAAAATCGGTCAAAATCAGACAAAATCGATCAAAATCGATCAAAAACTGTCAAAATCGGACAACTCGGCCGAGTCGATCAACTCGGCCGAGTTGGCCGAGTTTGGCCGCCCAGGCCGCCTAGAGGCCGCCCAAGCCGCCTAGGCGGCCGGCCGAGTTTTGGCCGCCTTTAGGCCAAAACTCTAAGGCTCGGTGCCGCCTAGCGCCTAGGCGGCTAGGCGGCCGAGTTTTGCAACCTTTATATATATATATATATATATATATATATATATATATATATATATAGAATTGCACTCAGGTGCGAATGCTTCGCCCAGGAGCGAAATAGGAATGGATTCTGTCTGTCCACGTGTCCAGATCTAATGGATGAAAAACACTGACTTTTTTAAAAAAGCGCGGTGGCATTTTCGTAAATAATTGAACATCGAATTGCAAATAAAATGTATTACAACTGCATGTAAAATGTAGTATAGGTGCAAGTAAAAATTTACACTGAGCATCAATACTAAATGCACCTATAGTTATCAGTAGTTGCACCTATAGTTATCAGTAGTTGCACCTATAGTTCTAAGTAGTTGCACACATAGTTATAAGAAGTTGCACCTAGGTTCATGAATGTTTGCGGGTGGTTTTCAGGGGTATTACTACCCGCTGAACTCAGATCAATGAATGTTAACAAGACAAAATTACGTGCACTTATAGGTGAAAGTAGGTGCACCTATAGTTATACGTAGTTGCACCTATAGTTATAAATAGTTGCACCTATAGTTATAAGCACACCCAGGTGCATGAATGATTGTGGGAAGTGAATGCTAGCAAGGCAAAATTACATGCACTTATAGGTGAACGTAGGTGCACTTGTAAGTGATTTTACTTGCACTTCGATGTTCAATTATTTACGAAAATGTCACTGCGTTTTTTTTAAGCTATTAGATGTGGACACATGTCGCGCGCTGATTTGTTCGCATATTCCTTCCTGCGCACTTATTCGCACCTGAGTGCATCCCTATATATATATGCTCATGTTCACATGAGGACACATCTATAAGGATGACAGTGAGGACAAATCATATCTATTGGATGTAAAGATTTGAGTGGATGTGATTGATTTGGACATATATGATTGAAATAATGGAATCATAATTAATAAGGGAATAATTAGAGAATATATACATAAGGTTTAATTAATGATTGAATTTGATTAAGATATTATACTTGATTTTAAGAATGTATTTATGGTAAAATAGAATTCTTCATGCAGAATATTACATTTATTATGCTTCGAGTTAATACTCATTTTGGTCCTCTGACTATTAGCTAATACTCGATTTAGTCTCAAAGTATTAAACGTACCGAATTTAGTCCTCTAACTTTTAAAATCACACCCAATTAAGTCCTCTGTTACTATTGTCGTTTATTTACTGTTATTTTGAGGGCAAAAAAGTCATTTTATTTGGTCCAACCGCGTTTCTTCCTCTGGTCTCTATCGCGTCTCCGGAATCTGTAAATGACTACTACAACAATGGCCTGCCTCCAAATCTGTCAGGTGGCCGAAATCCCAGCTTGGATTATGGCTTCAAGGGGGCAGAAATCACGATGGCGTCTTACTGCTCAAAGCTGTAGTTCCTTGGCAACCCTGTCACCAATCATGTCCAGAGTGCGGAGGAGCATAACCAGGATGTGAACTCTCTGGGGCTCATCTCTTCGAGGAAGACAGCCGGGGCGCTTGACATTCTGAAGCTCATGTCTGCAACCTACATGGTTGCATTGTGCCAAACCATTTTTTTGTCATAAGAGCTGAAATTGATTGGATTGAAATCAAACTATCATAGCAATATTGTAACAACCAATCTGAAATTGATCCAGAACAGAACGCCCAATCTAACCCTAATCTTCAACCCTAGAGCTAATCAACACCAAAATTGACAATAATGTTGATACCAAAACCTAACCGCCGAATCCGTACAGAGTGCGACCCTGTCTCTTGAGAGTATACACAACGTCCATTGCCATGACCGTCTTCCGGCGAGCATGTTCGGTGTAGGTAACAGCATCGCGGATCACGTTCTCGAGAAAGATCTTGAGGCCGGAGATACGCTTCACTCCACCACCGCGAGCCAGACGACGAATGGCCGGCTTCATGATACCTTGGATGTTGTCCCGGAGGATCTTACAGTGTCATTTTGCTCCTCCCTTTTCCAACCCCTTACCGCCCTTTCCACGCCAAAACATTTTCGGAAAATTCTTTACTTCTTCACTAAGGAAATCTGACCCAACTTTTGATCGCGCTGTGCCAAGCCATTGACCTGAGGCATCTGGAGACTAGAGGAGAATCTGGAGGCCTACACTAAAGTTGGTAAGGGGTATTGTGTGCACGTAGCTTCATTTTAAGAAGGAAATGTGCTTTATCTAATAAAATGACGCTTTTGCCCTTCAAAATATCGGTTGATAGATGGAAATTGTATAGGAGGACCATATTGGGTATCATTTTAAAAGTTAGAGGACTAAATTGGGAACGTTTAATACTTTGGGACTAAATCAAGTATTAGCTAATAGTCAGAGGACCAAACTAGGTATTAACTCTTATGCTTATATTATTTATTTATTTTCAAAGCTTTTTCATATGTACTTATTTTAATAGTTGACTTTGATTTATCTGTATGGCAACGCCGACAGTAGTTTGGTGTGTGCACTGGCACTCAAGACCACACGGCAACAAGACGAGTGCACACACACCAACAAATGAGTGCGCACACTTAGCACTCAAACCACACTGCAACCAGACAAATGCTCAAACACCACCAAATCAGTGCACACACATGACACTCAAGACCACACGACAATCAGTTGAGTGCACACACATGGCACTAAAGATCACACGACAACCAGACAAGTGCACACATACCACCAAGTCAGTGCACACAATATTACATAAAAGTGTAAACACCGAACTACTGTTGACGTGATGACATACAGACAAATCAAAGTTAACTGTTAAAATAAGTACAGATGAGTATGACAACAAAGAAATAAATTAGAATAGATTAAACAATACAATAGTGTTAGGAATAAAGTGTAATGGTTTTGATATGCCAAATTTGTATTTGTAGATCCCCCAATTTTATTTTATAGGTCTAGTAGAGTCTTAGACCATGATCGTGAAATTATTTAATTATGAAAAGAGAAAAACAGAGGAAGATGGATGAAAATAAAAGAAGAAGATCTAAAGCCGAAAATCAAGAATTTGTCTGGAGAAAATGACAAATTGAAGAAGAAGATGAATGAAACAATAATTCACGTCAATGCTACTCAAAGAAGATATCCCAGAAGAATTTCCGTGAAGAAAATTAATGTTGGAAGAATGCATGAAATTGACTTGGAGATCAAGCATCTATGGAAAGAAAGGAGTACATCAAATATGATTGGAGATTTAATCAAAAGCTGTACGGACGAAGTGGATGATGCTTGATATATTATGCGAAATGGCTTAAGTTCGAAACTCACCATTAATAATTTTACAAGGTAAAATTTGAGAAGCAAATTAAATTAATCTGATGAAGTTGGGCGCTAGTTTAAGCTAAGCTTTGGGCGCCGATTACAAGTGGAAATGGGGAAGCAATTGATTACAAGTGGAAATTGGGAAGCAATTGAAATTGGGAGCCAGTTTCACATGAGAATCAATTCAAGATGGTAGTTCGAAGCAATTGAAATTGGGAGCCAGTTTCACATGAGAATCAATTCAAGATGGTAGTTCGAAGCAATTGAGAATCAATTCAAGATGGTAGTTCGAAGCAATTGAAATTGGGAGCCAATTGAGGTTGTAGTATGAGATGCAATTTCAAGTTGGGGACCGATTCAAAGAAGTAGAATTGAAATTGGGAGCCAATTGAGGTTGTAGTATGGGATGCAATTTCAAGTTGGGGACCGATTCAAAGAAGACATGAGAATCAATGTAGAATTGAAATTGGGAGCCAATTGAGGTTGTAGTATGAGATGCAATTTCAAGTTGGGGACCGATTCAAAGAAGTAGAATTGAAATTGGGAGCCAATTGAGGTTGTAGTATGGGATGCAATTTCAAGTTGGGGACCGATTCAAAGAAGACATGAGAATCAATTCAACATGGGAGCCAATGTAGAATTGAAATTGGGAGCCAATTGAGGTTGTAGTATGGGATGCAATTTCAAGTTGGGGACCGATTCAAAGAAGACATGGAGATCAAATTGAATTGAGATGAAATTCAATACCAGGAGAAGTCTGGGAGCCAATTTCGAAGTCAAAGTCAACAATTCAAATTGGGAAGCAATTGGAAGCACCAGGAGCAGTTTGGGAGCCAATTGCAAGTCAAAGTCAATTGGGAGCCAATTACAATGGAGAAATTCAAATTGGGTGCCAATTACAAGCCAGTTTGAAGTCTGAGAACACCCAGACGTGAGAATGAAGAAGATGAAGATGAACTTACAGTGAAAATATTCTCACAAGGAAAAATACTAGTTTAACTAGTATGGGATTAAATTGATGAATATTTTTAAATCCCAAAGATACAAAGACAACTTCAGAGCTAATCAGAGAATCCGTTCTACACCCAGATATTCCCACTCAACGTAAAACCAGAGGAAATATCAGATGAAGTTTGAGAACCCATTTACATGGAGATGAAGCTCTAACAACGGCTAACTTATCCTTTCTGACATCTTTTCAAAAATGAGAGCGTCTCTTTCCAACGGACAGATTCTCATTACCAGCTATAAAATGATGAAGATATGAAGACTTGAAGAATGGCGAAGTGTGAAGAGCATAGAGCAGAAAATTCGAAACTCATCAAGAGATCGAATAGAGCAATTAAGCTTGAAAAGAGCATAGAGAAAAAATCTCATTTGGTACAGAGCATACCAAAAATCTTCAAGTGAGAAGTGAGAAAAGAAAAAGAACTCAGAGAGCTTCAAAAGAGAAAAATTCTGAGAGTTCTTAAACAGAGCAAAGCAGAGCAAAAATATCAAGTGCTTTACTTGATATATTCATAGAGAGAAAACACTCAGAGCTATCAAGAGAAATCATTACAGAGTGTTTATCTTCATCAAAGAGACCTGCGCATCATTGAAGATCATCTACAGAGTCTCAGAAGTTGGAGGCAAGACAACACTTGTTTTGGAGCAAAACAAGAGAAGGGAGGAAAATAGCACGGAGCTGTGAAATCCTGGATTGTCACACGGAGCTGTGAGATCCGAATCAGCAATGTCGGAGGCACTGGGCGTGATTGGTGTGGGCTTGGTGATCAAAGCACCAGATCACGGGATACGTTTCTACCGGAGTGTGGAAGACGGGGGAAAAGTAACGCGGAGTCGTGAAATCCTGGGATAGTAGCGCGGCGACGTGAAACCCGAAGCAGCAGTGTGGTGTCACTGGGCGTGATTAGTGCGGGCTTTGTGATCAAAGCACTAGATCACGGAAATTCATTGTATCTTGGAACCAAGAAGTGGTAGATATAGTGAATTGCTCTTGGAGATAAGAGCAAGTGGAGTAGGAGGATTACACCACCTCGCGAACCACTATAATTGTCTTGTGTTCTTTACTGCTTTCTTTACTTACCGCTCTTTACATATTCGCTCTACACGAGATGTACTGCTCACACAATCTCACACACACTTTATGTTTATTTATTTCCGCTGTGCACCATACTCTAACAATCTAGTTAAGAGTTTTGGTTTATCTCTGGCTTAGCAATTGTTGTGTTGAGTTTGAAAGTCTATTCACCACCCCCCCCCCCCACCCCCTCTCTCTCTAGACTTTCACCTTACCTCTTTTGGGACTAACAATTAGCTCATAGGAGACCGACAAATTATACTATAGATCATGAATAAATATTAATTTTTAAAATACTGAAGGTTCATTATTTAGTAGTATATAAAATAATGAACCTCACCATACAAATAATATATATTCAACAAATGGACATATAATGTATTAAAAATGTACATTTAATATATTAAAAAGTAAAAAGGTACAAATAGGTCATTGAACTCTTTGGGGATAGTAATTAAGTCACCGAACTCGAATAAGCTCCAAATTCATCCATGAACCTGGAAAAAAAAAGAGCAATTAGCATTTTTAGCATGTTAACAACAGGTTTGCGCTGATTGGGATGCCATGTGTATATTTTATTTTATTTTATATTTTATCATTATTATCCTACTAAGCATTTGACCCTCTTATTGGATGTCATGTTTTCCTGATTTAATTTCCTGACGTGTCCGTTACTGTATTTAAAATTAATTTTTAAAATTTTATTTTAATAATTTCAAATAAAATAATTATTTTGATAAAAAAAAAAAAACAGACTCTATGGCTGGCCAGAGACGAAGGGAACCGTCTCTGGCCAGCCAGCCATGGACCCTTCGTTTCCGGCTGGCCATGGAGAAGAAATGGGACCCCTTCGTCTCCAGCCAGCCACGAAAATGAAGGGCCGACCATGGAGACGAGGGTTCCCTTTGTCTCTGGCCAGACTGTTTTTTTTTTAAATTATTTTATTTGAAATTATTAAAATAAAATTTTAAAAATTATTTTTAAATACAGTAATCGACACGTCAGCAGTCCAAACCTGTTGTTAACCTGCTAAAAATGCGAATTGTTCTTTTTTTTCCGAGGTTCATGAATGAATTTGGAGCTTATTCGAGTTCGATGGCTTAATTGTTATCCCCCAAATAGTTCAATGGCCTATTTGTACCTTTTCCCTGTTAAAAATGTACTTTATGTCAATGGTCCACCTTAAGGTCCATCTAGGGGTGTGCAAAACCCGAAGAAATCGAAGAACCCGATCGACCCGAAGACCGGTTCACCCAACCGGTGAAATCTGAACCCGATCAGCGGAAATCGAACCGCTCTTTAAACGACGTCGGCCTATAAGACTTCGGGTAGGGGTGGAAAAATTCACCTGAACCGTCCGATTATCCGATCTAACCTAGGGTTACCTACAGCTAATATGATGAACAAACGCAAATCACATTCAATCAGGAAAGAGATTACACAAGAGAGTCCTATATGAAAGCTACCACTAAAAGCTCTTATACAATAGAATAGACTAGTCAACTATAACAATAGCCACAGACAAATAAACTATATATTATATTATTAATAACACACCCCCTCAAGCACAAGGTTGGAGGGCAACAACGTTGAGCTTGTCTCGTAGAGCCTGATAGCGCGGAGCTGGTAGTGGTTTAGTGAAGATAACGGCCAACTGATCCTTAGTTGAGACAAAACTAACGATGAAATCCCCTGATGCGACCTTGTCTCGTACAAAGTGATAATCAATCTCAACATGTTTCGTACGAGCGTGAAAAACTGGATTTGCTGCTAGGTAAGTGGCCCCTAGATTATCACACCATAGCGTGGCTGGTGAGCCAGAGTGCAACCCTAGTTCACGGAGTAAGGAGATAACCCATGTGACTTCAGCGGAGACATCGGCAAGCCCTTTGTACTCTGCCTCTGTGGAAGACCTGGCAACAGTACGCTGCTTGCGAGAGACCCATGAAACAAGATTGTTTCCAAGGAACACAGCATAGCCACTGGTAGACTTACGGTCGACTGGACATCCAGCCCAGTCTGAGTCAGTGTAGGCATGTAGATCGGAGGAGGCAGATAGTGATAGACGAAGCCCGTAGTCCTGAGTCCCCTTAATGTACCTCAACACTCGTTTGAGTAGTGCCTAGTGGTCGTCAGTCGGAGAATGCATGAACTGACACAACCTGTTTACCGAGTAGGAGAGATCAGGCCTGGTGATGGTTAGATACTGCAGAGCCCCTACAATCCTGCGATATTGAGTCAGGTTCTCAAAAGGAGTTAAGGAGGGGGTAGCCGGTTGAGTTACTGCTGCTGGGGTAGCTAGAGCCTTGCAGTCCGTCATTCCAGACCTCGTGAGGATGTCCTTCATATACCGACACTGAGATAAGACAAAACCATCACCGGAAGGTACATTTTCTATCCCTAGAAAGAAGTGAGGTGTACCAAGATCTCGAATTTTGAAAGCAGTTGACAACTGACCGAGTAAAGTGTCAATTAACGCCGAGTCGTTGCCCATCATGATTATGTCGTCAACGTAGACCAACAAGTAGACCCGTGAGTTTCCCGTTGTATAGTAAAAGAGCGGGACATCGGTTTTGGATGCCAGAAAACCGGTGGATGTCAGAAACTCCTGCAAGCGATTGAACCATGCCCGGGGTGCCTGCTTTAGGCCATATAGAGAACGCTGTAAGTGACAGACGTGACCCGGGTAAGATGGGTCCTCATACCCAGGTGGTTGCTTCATGTATACCGTTTCGGATAGGCGACCGTTCAAGAAGGCGTTGTGGACATCTAGTTGTCGCAACACCCACTTGCATGATACTGCAAGAGAAAACAAAATACGAACAGTAGTCGGCTTGACTACGGGGCTAAAGGTGTCGAAAAAATCTTCACCAGCAACCTAGTTGAACCCTTTTGCCACTAATCGGGCCTTTTAGCGTTCAATGGTCCCATCGGCCTTGCGTTTGGTACGAAAGACCCATTTGCAACCGATAATATTCATATTCGGAGATGCCGGGATGAGTTGACATGTGTTGTTATGCATAAGGGCGTTGAATTCCTGATCCATAGCATCACGCCACTGCGGGTGACCCACAGCCTGGGAGTAGCAAGTGGGGTTCACGGTGGTGTTAAGAGCATAGAACTGCTCGTCTTGGCCTCGAGTTTTGCACCTGGTGCGCATGACATGATCCTCAACCTGAGAACGGGCACGTTTAGTGCGGCCCGGAGGCCGGCCCCGTCTTGCACCAGTCTGAGGTGGCCCTTCTATAGCCGTGGGGGCCGGCTGCTGAGCCAGAGGCAGTTCATTCAGAACCGGGGGATTGACAAGATTTATCATTACGGGCCTGGCTCCCCAAGGGGTAGGAGTAGGATCCGGAGTTGAATCAACCTGCAAAGGAGTCTGCACAGCAAAGGGGAAGATTGATTCATCAAAACGCACATGACGGCAGATAAATATCTTTCCCGTAGTTAAGTCCATACAGCGGTACCCCTTAAAAGAAACCGGGTAACCTAGGAAGACACAAGATGTGGACCGATATTCAATTTTGTGCCGATTGTACAGCCTTAGATACGGGTAACATTTGCACCCGAAGACACGGAAGAAGGTGTATGGAGGTGCTGTTTTATGTAGACGGAAGTGTGATGTTTCATAGGATATAGCAGAGGAGGGCAAACAATTAATTAATTGAGTTGCGGTTTCAAACGCATAATCCCAATATTTTAATGGAGTTGAGCTTTCAGCTAATAAGGCCAAGCCAGTTTCGACAATGTGTCTATTCCGGCGTTCAACACGGCCGTTTTACTCATGGGTATAGGCACACGATTGTCTGTGTGTGATGCCTAAGGACTCGAATATGTTATGTAGGCGACGATACTCACCCCCTAAATCCGACTGTATGGCTTTAATAGAACGGGAAAACCGTCGTTCTACCATCACCCGAAACAAATCAAAAACTTTATAGATATCTGATTTAACCAGCAATAACAAGTACAATCGTCTACAAAACAAAACAAAATAGCAATAACCAGAATCTGAAATAACCAGAGAAGGACCCCAGATATCTATATACAACAAATCTAAAACATTTAAACTTGAAGTATACACTCTATCTAAGGGAAATCGGGATGATTTGCCGAGTTGACACGCGGAACAGATTTGTGACGCATGAGCTTTATTTGACGAGACCGGACAGTGTTTTATGACTCGTTGAAGGGCTTGCTTATGTGGGTGACCCAAACGTTGATGCCAGACTGCAGGCGAAGCTTTTGCTGTTAAGAATGAAAAATGCGACCGTAGCACCAACAATTTATACAACCCGCTTACTGCGGAACCTATAAGGAGTGTTTCCCGAGTAGTGCAGTCCTTCACAAAAAACGAGTCTTTATGAAACTCAAAGAACACATTGTTTTCGTTAGTGAAACGATAAACAGATAGCAGGGATAAAGACAAATTCGGAACAAATAAAATATTTAACATATTTAACAATTTGGAATTAGACGGGATAGCTGTACGACCAACTCGAGAGATATTCAAACCTGCGCCATTGCCTACTTTCAACACGTCACTACCAGTGTAGGGCTCGGAATGTCCGATCATCTACTCGTCCGGCGACGCGTGAGTGGTGGCGCCGGTGTCGGGAAACCAAGCTTCGGATTGGGCAGTGTCAGTCGGTGGTGTTCCCGCGACAGCCATGTGGGCATGCGGCGGTGGCTCGGTGTATCGTTTGTTGCAGAAAACAGCAGTATGACCGTGACTCCTGCATATTTGGCAGCGAGGGCTGCCACGGCCACGACCACTGGACTGCCGACCTCCTCGCCCACGGCCGCGATTGGAGTTGTTCTGTCGCCCACCACGTCCGGATCCTCCGCTGGACTGACCACCACGGCCAGCATACATGGCGACCGGAGCGGCGTTCCCGGACTGATCCATCGCAAATTAATCCCCCTAGATGAAATCTTGCGCTTGCAGAAGATCACCAAGCTGTGATAAAGTCACCGGTGTGCCGGTCACTGTAAGTGCACTCGCCATTGCCCGGAATTCCGGGCGGAGCCCCCTCAAAATGTAGAGAACCTGTTCGTCAAGAGAAAGCCGATGACCGGCCAGGGACAAAGCTTCGACCAACATCTTCGCCTTCCCAAGATACTCCGAGGCTGACATGGCGCCCTGACGGAGCGTCTGGAACTGGCTGAGTAAATTGAGGCATCTAGCCCTGGTAGATGACGCCAGTGATTCATTGATGGAGAGCCAGACATCGCGTGACGTTTCCCGGCTAACAGCTAGCGGCATGACCTCGTCGGCTAGAGACGAGATCAGGAGAGACAGGATCGATTGATCCTGTTGAACCCACGTCGCATGCGCCAGATTAGCGACCATTGAGCCAGCTGGGGTGGTGCCGGAATCGCCTTGCTATGCCGTCGCCGGAAGGGTCGCCGGAGGGCATAGGGTGCTGCTATCAATATATCCTAAGAGCCCCTGACCACGTAAGAAGGGTATTATTTGAGTGCGCCAAAATAAAAAATTTCTATTGTTTAATTTTATGGAAACAAAGTGATGCGCTGCGTTTAGGGAGTTCCCGGTGGTTTGTGATGGAGGGGTGGTGGTTACGGTACGTTCAGAGGAATTTGTCGACATGGTACGGTGGTGGAGAAAAAACAGGGTAGGATTCCTAGCCTAACGCTAACTGATACCAGATGAACAAACGCAAATCACATTCAATCAGGAAAGAGATTACACAAGAGAGTCCTATAGGAAAGCTACCACTAAAAGCTCCTATACAATAGAATAGACTAGTCAACTATAACAATAGCCACAGAAAAATAAACTATATATTATATTATTACTAACAAATATGATACGGCGTCGTTTAGCCTTAGTATTATTATTATTATTATTATTATTATTATTATAATATATATATATATATATATATATATATATATATATATATATATATATATATATATATTGATAAGGTTGGAGACTTCATATCTCTCCTCATTTGCCCTTCGCGCAGTTGAAGCTAGGGTTTCTCTCATTCTCTGTCTCTCTCACCCTCTCACCCTCTCAGTCTCTCACTCTCTGAGTCTCTGAGATTTCTCTCCATTCTCCATTTGCGAATTGCGATTCTGAATTTCTAATTTCTCTCAACACACTACTCTGAATCTCTCACTCTCTGAGATTCATCCGTTGTGTAGTCCGGTACTTCGGTGGTTTGGTCTTAGTCTCTCAGGTCTGGTGGAAACCCTTGTTGCTGGTGCTGTGACTGTTGTCGTCGACCTCGACTGGTGATATCTATAAAAAGAAGCCCTTTTTCTCCGGGGTATCTGTGAGAAACGAAGTAAATTGTCTAACCCTAGTTTTTTAAATTTGATTTCCTAAAGTTGCTATGATATTATGCGAATTTGTGATATGTTATGTGACTTATGTCACTTATGTGAATATCTGGTGAAAATATTGAGTTATTGCAAACCCTAGTTTTATACTGTAATTACTGTCAGTTTGTGAAATGTTTTGAAGCATTTTGTGAGAATTTGTAATATGTTTTGTGAATATATGGTGGAAGCACTGACTTATTGATTGTTTATTGAAAACCCTAGTTTGATACTGTTAGTTTGTGAAATGTTTTTCTCATTTTGTGGGAATTTATGATATGTTCTGTGACTTATGTCACATATCTGGTGGAAGCACTGACTTATTGACTGTGTATTGCAAACCCTAATTTTATAATTTATACTGTCAGTTTTTGAAATGTTTTTGTCATACTCTGAGTCTATGTCTCAGAGAAATTGTGATATACTGATGTGGTGGAAGCCCATAAGTAGTGAAATCCAGATAATGATGCCTGATGAACATGAGGCCATGAGTTGTATATTAATTATAATAGTCTTTGACTCTCTGCCTCTGGAAAGGGAAATTAAAACCCTAAATCTGGATTTCAGTAAAAAAAATGTCACGTTTATGGATGTATGCCCTTAATGGTTTTGAAAATGGTGACACAAAGTAAAATAAATAAAAACAATTATGTATTCTTTGAAAATGATGACACAAAATGTGTCTGATTTTGGAATGGTTTCTGCTTTCATGCTCTGTGATTCTGTGTAATTGTATGGCTGACTGTGTGACTGTCTATTATTCTTGAATATGAACCATACTTATGTGTACTGATAGTTAACCATTTCTTAGATGGAAAATATCAGTATGCCTAGTAGTTAACCTCCCAACTGTTTAGTAGAGGGACCTTCAGAAGTGGAAGCCCAAACTGTTGAGCAAAATGATTAACAGAATGTGCAACCTCCTGCTGTAGTTCCTGAAAAGAAGAGGAAGTAGGTTGATTCTAGATCCAGAGTATGAGATCATTTTGAGAAAATAAATGACAATAATGGTGTTACTGTCAAAGCCAAGTGTATTTACTGTGCAAAAGTATATCAGTGTGAGTCAAAAAAACATGGTACATCTTCCTTAAGAAACCACATGTTGAGTTGTCTGAAAAATCCTTACTCCAAGAACACTAGGCAGTCTCTTTTAACATTTCAAGCTATTACATCTTCTGATTCTGCTCAGCCTACTGTGGGGGGAAATAGGGACCTGGGTATTTAATCAAGAGTCAATTAGGAGGGCCATGGTTGAAATGATAATCATTGATGGACTCCCCTTTAGATTTTTGGAGGGAATAGGTTTCAAGAGGTTCATAGCTATTGCTTGCCCTAGGTTTATAGTTCCATCTAGATGGACTATAAGTAGGGACATCCTAGTTGTCTATGAAGAAGAGAGACTAAAACTGAAGGCATTTTAAAGGGGAAGCAGTCATAGGGTTAGTATCACAAATGACTCTTGGACATCCATCCTTAGGATTAACTACATGGTGGTCACTGCCCATTTCATTGATTCTGAGTGGAAGCTTCACAAGAAAATCATTGCATTTCTCCCTATTACCTCTCACAAAGGTGAATATATAGCCAAAGACCTAGAAACTTGTTTGCTAGAGTGGGGACTTAGGAATGTCTTTTCTGTGACTGTTGATAATGCCTCATCCAATGACATTGCTATGAGGTTTCTAGGAATGTCTTTTCTATGACTGTTGATAATGCCTCATCCAATGACATTGCTATGGGGTTTCTAAAGAAAAAATTGGATTCTTGGGGAACATCTACTGTGAAGGCAAAGTATATTCACATGAGATGCATTGCCCATATCTTGAACTTGGCAGTTCAAGATGGTTTGAAAGACTGTGATAGTTCTGTTAAGAAGGTTAGGGAGGTGGTCAGATATGTTAGAAACTCTCCTGCTATGCTTAAGAAGTTCAGGGATTTGGCTGATTTCTTGAGTATTGAACGAAGGTCTTCTTTGTGTTTAGATGTTCCAACCAGATGGAACTCTATCTATTTGTTGTTGCAATCTGCATTAAATTACCAGAAAGTGTTTGAATCTTTGGAATCTGATTGTTCTTTCAAGGTTGACTTGAGTAATTCTATTCCTGATTTTATGGACTAGGAATCAGTTGGCAGTTTGGTCCAGTTATTGAAGTGTTTTTATGACATGACCATTAGAATTTCTGGTTCTTTATATGTCGCCTCAAACACATTCTTTATTGAGATTTATGATCTGTACTGCCTGTTGAAGGGCATGGTGGAAGCTGGTGGGGCAGTGGGTGATATGGGGAAAAATATGAAGGCAAAATTTGAGAAGTATTGGGGTGATGTTGATAAAATGAATCTAATGATTTTATTTATTTATTTATTTTTTGCAAATATTCTAGACCCTAGGGACAAGTTAGAGTATATGCCTACTTAGCTTAATCATATGTATGGTGAGGAAAAGGGTAAATCATACTATGTGAAAGTGCTTGCTGCTCTGACTACGTTGTTTGATGATTATTCTGTCAGTTGTAACCCTATTGGTGTGAGTTATGTCCCTTCTGTTCCTGTTTCTGTTTAGTCTTCATCTGCCTCTTCTGTTTCTGTTGGGAAGCCACAACATTTACTCAAGTCCCAAATTAAAAAACAAAGATTGGAGTCTGGGGGTAAGAAACAAACTGAGTTGGATATGTACTTGAGTGAGGCAATAGTTGAAGAGGCAGAATATTTTGTTATACTTGGATGGTGGAAGATTCACTCTGCCATTCCAATCTCAACTGTTGCCTCAGAATCTGTCTTCAATACATCTGGGAGAGTATTGGATCCTTTAAGGAGTTCATTAACTCCAAAAATTGTGAAAGCATTGGTGTACACAGGATTGGCTTAGAATGCAAGATATTCCTTTATGTATTGAGGAGAATTTGGAAGAGTTGGAGATGTTTGAAAAAGGTATAACTTTAGTCTTTAGGTCTTTAGTCATTAGTGTTTTATTGTTTTTACTGTTTTATACTTATATGTTAAATTGTTAATACTTTTAACTTTTGTTTACTTTGCATAGTTAAGTGGTGATGGTGGAAGTGGGAGGTCTCTTGGTTCTACACTTGCTACGATTCCTGTAATGTTATTCTCTACATTACTTGATAACATTGATTTACTTATGTAGTTCTGTCTAATTTTATTGCAATCTTTTACAGTATTTGACTCAATTGCAATCTACTCTCACTTGGTATTTTTTGAGCCCACTGTGACTGATGTTATTAGTTACTGGCTTGATCATTCATCTATTTCTTACACTGGACATCTGTAACTCTGTAAGTATGAAGGCCCGGTACTCTGTAAGTATGAAGGCCTGGTAACTTTTACTAAGTTGCTGCCTCAAGTCCCTTGGGCATTTGGTTGGTAATGTATGAACTATTTTAGTATGTTTGTTCCCTTTTAAGTTGGCAATGATGAAGCTTCCACCTTTAATCTGAAAAGGATTAAGTTGGTGAGTTGCAATATACTTAAGTTATATTGAAGCAATTTGCCCTTAATCCAAATTGATATGGAAAAAATGCTTACTGAGCCAAAATTAAT